ATGAGATTCTGCCGAACAGCGAGTGGCGTCAGGAGCAGATGCGGCCGGCGCTCATTATGGTCTTGCGACGCCTCGACAAGACCTTCACGAAGATCGCCAAGAAGTCGGCCATCAAGCGCTCGACGGATTGGGAGGCGGCCAAACGGCTGCTCAAAGGCGTGTACCTGACGTTCACGCGCCACCCCTACATCGTGCATCTGCCGCATCTCAAGTCTCTCATCTCCGTCTGTCAGAATATCGTGTTGGGCGACCAGACGCCGCACGCGGACACCGCGCTGCTCGGCGGGAGTTCCGTGCCGTCGTGGGCGGTCGCGCTGTCGCAGTCGTCGCCGCCGGGCTTCACGTCTGTGGCCGTGCGTCTCATTGCGATGCAAATGCTTCAGTTGGGCGACAGTCAGACTCTGGAAACCGTGTGTTCGGGCGCCTTCTCGTCGCCCGAGAAGTCCGAGATCTACCTCATGAACCTCATATACCCCATGTGTATACGCATCAGTTCCGGCCTCAAAGAGGTGCCCAAACTCAGGCAGTGCGACATCAACTTCACGCTCACTGTTGTCCTCAATTGCCTCAAACCCATTCCTCTGAAGCCCGTCAAAGGCTCCGACTCTTCGTCGGGACAGTCGTTGTCGCAAAACACCGTCCATTCGGTCGGCTTTCTCGGTAAGAGTTCCTTTATGANAGAGGTGCCCAAACTCAGGCAGTGCGACATCAACTTCACGCTCACTGTTGTCCTCAATTGCCTCAAACCCATTCCTCTGAAGCCCGTCAAAGGCTCCGACTCTTCGTCGGGACAGTCGTTGTCGCAAAACACCGTCCATTCGGTCGGCTTTCTCGGTAAGAGTTCCTTTATGACGGCTTTCTCTCAGACGGCGTTCCCTTCTCTCAGGACTCAAGATAATGATGGTGTGTTTCGAGCGCCAACTGACCACCGAGTGGTACCGAATCTCGCGCACGATCCGCGAGCTGGCCAATCGCGGCCAGGGAGGTGTGACGCTGTGGAACTTCCTCGACTTTGTGGTCACTTACAGAACACCGCTTTTTCTGCTTCTCTTTCCGGTCATAAAATGCAAATATTTGCTCAAAATCTGCGACAATGACGTGGAATACGGATATCAACAGCAGATCCGCGAAAAGATGTCGGGTTTGGGACTTCCGTTCGGTCGCAGCAAAGGTTGCAAATGGACTCTAAATGACTGCGAAATTAACGCGAATCTCATTTTAGGCCAACTTTTGGTGCAATTGATGTCCGAAATGCGTCTTCTGAGAGAAGAACTCATTTCGCGCAAGACTTTGCCGCCAGTGGACGACCGGAAGTCCATAGTTGGCGACCAGTCGTCGTCCGAACGCCCGGAAGGCCACCGCCTGTCCTTCGCATTCACGCAAATGGCGGCCTCGGCCTCCAAGCTCTCCAACATCTCGTCCTCCAACTCAAACACTCCGCAGAGTCACCAACAGTCTGGCGGAGAGCCGAGTGTCGCCTATAATACGCCCACCTCTTCCAAGGCGTCGCTTCTTCGGGGACTCAGTTTCCGACTGTCGGCCAGAGGCGAACAGCGAGTGTTTCCGCCGCGCAATCTGTCCGTCAAGTTGTCGCGGGACTCGAAGCGCGTGATGGAGGGCTTCCTGCGCCGCACCTCTTATCCCGACCCGAAGGAGGCGGCGCCCCCGGGAGGCGTGGAGGCGGAGAGTCGTTCGGCGCAATCGGAGCCGAAACTGTTCCGCAAATCGACGCTTCACGTGAAGCGCGGGTCGAAGAAGAGTGCGAAAGAGAGTTCTTTGAGTCCGCAGTCTCTGAGCGGAGAGGCGTTGGCCGAAGGCGTGACCGCCGAAGACGAGCACGAGATCCGGGCGCAGATCGCGCGCAAACTGTCGGGCGAGGGATCGGGCAGTTGTTCCCGAAGCGACTCTCCCGACGAAGAGCGCGCTCTGAAGCACCGCTTGCAGCGCCAGAAGGCGCAGTCGCGCAAGACTTTCCGCTTCCGGAAGTCGCGTCGCGGCGCCGGCTTCCTGCAGAAGGAGGAAGAGGAGGACAAGAGCCGAAGCAAAGCGGAGGACGACACGACTGACGGCCGAGAGGTGGCGCTCGCGGAGGAGGAGAGCTCGTCGATCATAGAGCGCAGTCGCGACGGCAGAGACGACGAGAGCTCTTCGATGGAACTCTTGTCGCCGAAAGAGCCGAAGAACGCGTCTTCGGACGAGTCGGTGGACGAGTCGGCGGCGCTGTTGGCGAACGACGAGTCGAACAACACTTCGTTTCCCTTCGCGGACGAAGAGGAAGACAATCCCTTCATCCGTGACTAAAGTTTATTCATTTGCTGTGTTTGTGGTGAAGAGCGACGAGTTCGCGGCGCGAGAGGTTGTCCTCTTCGGTGACGGGCGTCAACTCCAGAGCGCCGGCCATCCACTTCTTCGCCTCGTCCACGCGCTTGTCGGCGATCAGCGTTTTGCTGATCCACAGCTGATTCCCAATCCAGTCGTGTCTTAACTCGTCTGCCTTGAGGAGAGCACTCAACGCCTCCTTATAGGAGGACTCGGGCGGCGCGTCGAAGAAGGTGGCGGCGATCTTGCGCTCCATCCACGACAGACCGGCCACTTCGTAACACCAACGGCCGTACATGTGATGGAGGAGCCGGTCGTTGGGGTCGACCTCTCGCGCGACGTCCGCGTGCTTCTTGAACTCGTGGCCGAATTGGATGCGCTCTTTGGTGCCGACGAAGGGAGCGATGCGTCCGACGGCCGCGCAGTACCTGAAGGCCAATGAAAAACAAAGCAATTATTCGTTTGAATGCATTAAAAGTCTATTAGAAGTGATTTAATGTGTATTTAATGACAGCTTTTCACTAATAATTGATTTGCGTTCTGAAGGCCACGAAAAGGCCTATAAATAGAGGTTTGACTCATGAATGCGTTTACCATTTGTTGGCCTCGAGAGCCCGGGGCGCCGCCTCCAGCGCTCGGCGGGCGTGCGCCACCGCCTCCTGCACGACCCCCTTCACGGCGTCCTTGGGCGCCCCCTCCGCCTCCTTCAAGTCCGACATAATTAGCGCCGCTTTCGCCAAACGCCAACTCACGGCCAGCGAGCCGTCGGCTCTTTGCATGAGAGCGGCGTAGAGCTGGTGTTTGTCGGTCTTCGGGTCGTCGATGTCTCGGTCCCATTGCGAGAGGAACTCCTGTGCGTCGAGTTGTGCAGCCATTGCAGCAGTGAATGCGAGATAAGAGAGAGTGTTATCTCAGAGATAGGTGTCATCGCGATGTGAAAGGTCAGAGGGAAAGGGAGTAAAGTTCTAGTTTCGAGAAACCGTGTGTTTTTGGCTGTAATTAATGGGAAATCCAGTGTTTGTGACGAAAATGCATTTGAATTACAAATCGTGTGAAACTCGATCTCAAGCTCTCATTGAAAATGAATTTTTCTCTCAATTATTATTCATTTGTTTTGCGTTTGTTTTTTGAGACAATTTCAGCGCACAGGTAGTTGTCTTACGACGAAATGAGTGGAGTTTTGGTGAAATTTGTATGAATAATAATTAGCGAAAGGTTTTTCTCTGCGAAAGTCATTAGTTTTTAATTGAATTAGATTTTCGCTCAATTTTGGGTTTATTTCGCTTAATAGCGATTGTGTGTCAGTCGGGCTGTGAATAGCGTTGTGGACAAAGTTTGCCACCGCCTCAGGGCTTCGCGAACAACAAAAACAACACAACTTTCCTTTTAATCGAGAGTTTATTTTCAAAATCGAGAAATTATTACAAAAACAAAAGCGATTTAAATCTCTGGAAACAAAACAGTCTCTAAACTCGTATATAATAACAAATACATAACAAATAGTGGAAAGTCTACCGGTTTTACAAAATGAGTATAAATTGAACTAAAAATATATATATAACTAAGAGATCAGTGAATAATTGGTCACAAAATCATTACTAGATTTGAACATAAATTTGAACGAAATTTTATGACTATTTACATGAATATTCAATAGTTTTCTCAATTTTTGAAGATTTCCTTTACCTCTGAAGACACGAAACGGAAGACATAATTATCAAAGTTTTGTCTAAAGTCTAACTCTGAATGAAAGCATAAAATTAAGGCAAATATAGATTTGTTGCAATAAATAGAGAGAAAGTCATAGTTTTTATGAGACTTTGAGAGACAATGAATGCTTGCAATGAAAACTGATTCAAAAATTGACTAAAAATTGAGTACAAATTCACTAAAATAGTTAATAAAATACAGAAAACTTTTTGTTTTCATAATAAAACGATTCAAACCTTGAAAAGAGAAAGTTTTGATCACTTTTTGGCTCAAATTTGCATAAAAACCGCATTCGCTCTCAAAATCTCAACCATTTGTGGCTCTGATGGACACGTGATCGAACTGTGGCCGCCATCCCGTCGCGTTGGGCCCGAACTTGTAGACGAGGCGGCGCCCGAACACCGGCAGAAGCACTTGCGACTTGTAGTAGTACCTGAGCACAGGTAGTCCAGAGTTGTAGCACAGGCACTGGCAGGCAATATAGGCTCACCTCATGGCGCGCGACAGCTTCTCATACGTCATGCGGGGGTTCTGTTTCCTCTCGCCCCACATTTTGGCCACTTTATCGCTTTGCACGAACTTAAAGACGCCGTCTTCGCGCCGTTCCCAACGGATGAACGACGGATTGGTGGCGCCATTGAGCAGAAGATCGCGAATGAATTCCCAGAGCTTTCCGTTCCCTTTGCCTGACAGACAGTTAGTACAGGACTGTTGGCAAACACTAAGGCTAAGCAAACACTCACTTCTCGACTTGGCGTCCTTCTTGGGCGGCCGGCCGCGGCGTCCGGCCTTCTTGACGGCGGGGGTGGCGGCGGGCGTGGGGTCGGAGGCGGCGGGAGGAGGGAGGGGTTGGAGAGGCGATTGAAGCGGCGGCGGCGGACAGAAGAAGAGTTTGCGTTCGTTGACTGCACTCAAGTTGGAAGAAGTGCTTTCTCTGTCCGACTCTACGCGCGATATAAAATATAAAAGCAAAGAAATATTGCGTAGCAATGACTGACCGCTCGAAGACTGTGGGCTGTGGTGAGCGTCGAGGTCGAGGCAGACGTTGTTTTGCGGGCACAAGAGGTCGAAGGAGGGGAAGGCGAACTCTGGCGGCTGGAAGTGCTGTTGGCGGGCGTGTTGTTGGCGCAGCAGTTGCAGCGCTCGACTGATTCGCTTCGTGCCGCGACTTCCCGCGCAGGCGGCCTTCACGCTCTACAACTACCTGATCGGGTTCGTCATGTTTCACGTGCGGGCGCCGGTAGAGTCGTCGCAGGAAGTCATAGCGACCGTCCTGTCCATCCTGTGGCTCGTCGTGCCCAACGTCCACGGCCTCTTCCTCAAGGATCTCAAGCAGATTCTGCGCAAAGAGCAGTGCGACGCCTCGCTCCTCATCACCGCAAACGTGCCGTCAGCCAAGAAGATCATCGTCCACGGCCCCGACGCCTCCGTCATCCCCTCCCAGTTCCCCATCCACGAAGACACGCAGTTCTCGCAGATCCTGACCGATAGTCTCGACTTCTTCGGCATCGACGAAGACAAACACAACGAGTACTTTCTCGTCGACTCCAAAACCAGTGAGTATTCCTCCCATTGGCCGCCCAAAACTCACTCTCTCCTCCAATCGCAGACCAAATGCACAATTTGAATGCTTTCGTCCGCGACTTCTACTTCTTCAAGCGCTCCCAATATCCGCAAATCTCTTTGGTTCACATGAATCCCACGGACGCCTTCGACCGCCTCCAGAGACAGGCCTTCACTCTGCAGTTCGTCGAATTGGGAAAAGTATCGCTCGTTGTCTCCCTTTCCTCCCTCTCCTCACGCCTTCTCTCTCTCGCAGACTCTCATGTGTTTGTCGCTAATCAAGTCCTCATTCCTCGGCATTCAAAGAGTTCTCTTTCTGCACGAAGAGCTCATGAAACTGCCGTCGTTTCCGCGCAAAGCCCTCGAAGCCAACTTCAGCCTCTATTCGGGCGCCACGGGTCAGGAAGTGCTGGGAATGGACACTCTCCACAAGATCGTTTGGGTCAAACTCGTGGCGCGAATGTTCGAGGCCACGAACGGCTTCTTCGTGCAGTCGGCGGACATCCATCTCTTCCTGAACGTCGTGAACGGCGCTCTCATTCTTCACTGCGAGAACTCGTCGATGATGCGTCTTTGTATGGCCACGTATATCAACGCCGCGCATCAGTTCCGCAACATCTTCGCGGCCAACGGCTATCTCCTGATTATGCCCACCATTTGCCGCATTTACTCGAACCACCAGACGAACGGACTCCTCTGTCGCACCATTGAGTTCGTCTGCAAGCAGTTCTACATTCTTCACCGAAAGCCTTTCGTTCTGCAGATGTTCGGAGCGGTGGCGCCACTGCTCGACCTCGACCTCCAGTCCCAATTCGGCGACGCCTCCAAAGTGCAGCCGCGCGCCTTCTTCCAGTTGTTGCAGTCTTTGGGACAATACATTGTGGATCCGCTCGATATCCTGGAACTGGTCGACGCGGAGAAGCCGCTGAAGGCAAGTCCTCTTCCACTGAAGGCACTCGAGACTGACTCCCATTTGTCGCACAGGCTCTCGATTTCTGCTATTGTATGGACGCCGAGACGCTGTCCGTGTTGGACGCCATCTCTCTGTGCGTGACAGTCGTCTCGTACGCGGCGGACACCGAACGCGGACACCAAATGCTGACCGTTTTGGAGGCCATTCTTCCCCTCCATCTCAAACACATGCAGACTCTGACCACGAAGAAGGAGACGCCCGGCGGTCCGCGAACCGAACTCCAAGTCATTCACAACGTCTCGGTTTGCATGAAGACTCTGGTCTACAACTCGGAAGCGCTGACCCGCAACTTCACGGGTCCGCAGAGAGCCATCGATTTGCGCGGTTCGTCCATAAAGAACGCGTCGAAAGGCGCCTACAGTCCGCCCGGAGTCGAGATCGACGACGACAGCCACTCCAAGTCAGCTATTCTTGCTATCCTTGCAATGAGCGCGAAATAACCTTCCCTTCCCGCAGATACGTGTCCGACAACTACTACTCGCGCGCGCGGAACCAGTACTCGAGCGACGCGAGTGATGGCGAGAGCGTGCGGACGGACTTCCGGCGTCCGCGAGACGTCCTCCTCAAAGTGGTCGCCGAGTTCTTGAGTCGGTCGACGGCACGACTTCAGGACCTGAGCAAAAAGCTGCCGGATTTGCACCAAAAGGGCTCCACTTATGAGTTGCTGGACGTGAAGAGTCACTTGCGATTGGCGGAGATCGCGCACTCGCTCCTCAAGATGGCGCCGTACGACCCGCAGACGATGGCCTGTCGCGGACTCGTGCGCTACATGAATGAGATTCTGCCGAACAGCGAGTGGCGTCAGGAGCAGATGCGGCCGGCGCTCATTATGGTCTTGCGACGCCTCGACAAGACCTTCACGAAGATCGCCAAGAAGTCGGCCATCAAGCGCTCGACGGA